GGGGGGGGGGGGGGGGGGGGGTTAAATAAGAACAGAATCAAAAAAGTAGTTTGTCAAATTGATTAAAAAATGACATGCCATTTATCTGCATTTCTTTCTCTTCTAAACTTGTCTTTTCCTTCCTTCTAAATGCAGGTGGGACTCGAGGGGAGTTCTCTTGGCCAATGGTGGTTGGATATGATAGGAAAAACACTGGATGAAGGATCAACTTTTTATCGTGTTGGTTCTAGGCAGTTGGCAGGCTTGCTTATAGCAACATGGTTTGTAGTTGATCAGCCCTGCACTTATTTAATAACCTTTATTTTATTTTCTAATGTTACTATTTTCTTTTAATTAGGAAAATAATTTTTATTGATCTTCTTGGATTGGATGTACGAGTGGTCTTTCAAATACTTAGGATTATCTCTTCGTTCTAATCTTCCTTTGCCAATTGAGATTCTGCTACTTGTTTATGAAAAACAACATTTCATTTGTATTTGAAAAGATTTCACTTGGAACAATTAGAGAAAAATCACAACTCCCAATGGAAGCATGATATATCTCCTACTAGAGTTGAACACATTACGAAAATAAATAGTAGACAACTTGATAAAGAATCCTTAGGAAAGTAAAAATAACAGAACAAAGACAGAATGTATCGAGAGGCCCACTCTTTGCATTCGACTGAAAATGGTCATCCCAAAGCGTCTCACGAATCTTGCTCACCAATCTAACCACTGTATTTGTTGGTTTCTTTCAAACCAAATAGGGTATATCTTTTACTGCATCGCTCACAGCAACCTAGTATTGTTTTCCATCCTCACACCACTCGATATTTGGAAAAAGTTTTCCTTTGATCTTCTATCTAAGATCCAAGAAATATTAAGGATCTTTAGAATTAGCGACTGTAGCAACATTGAAAAACAAATGCGATTGATCTTCTCCTGCCAAAAAAACCACAGAACACAAATTGTAGGAGACAAAGGTACTGAAGGACACTTCTTTTTTCACTCTGTTCATCATATGAAGACCATCCAATGGGAAATGCAAATGAAAACGTTTACTTTTCTTGGGATAAACCAAGTCTCTGCTTGAAAGAAACATAACAATTTTAGGATGAGTAGAAGGCTATTGAGTTCTTAGTTAAAATGATTATTTTTGTTCTCTTGTTTGCTCTCATCGTCAGTAACTGTTTTTGTTTTTATAACTCAGGCATTTGAATTTCTATAGTTAAAGTCCTCACCTTCACTCAGGATTCTTTTTCCCCTGAATTAGAGCTATTTTCTTTCTTTTTTTTCTTTTCTTTTTTCTTTTCTTTTTTCTGTTCTTTCATTATATAATATTGGCTCTTAAGAGATATTGTAATATAATATAGCTTAGAAAAATGGTGTTTTGAAGCGGTGTTTATGCTGTAAGGGTAGGTCTTTTGCTTATTTTATCTCTTCCAGATGGTCCATAATACGAATTCAATTGTTCAGGGTTAGAAGTAACATCCGAGCTCATGTGGGGGATGTGGATGCTGCAGCAGTTCCATGTGGCTTTGGACGCGCAATTGGTAATAAGGTATATCTTGTTTCTTTATTCAAATTGTACTATATCTTCCAGCATTGCTTTTTGCCACATTTTGTACGTTGTATTTCCAAAAACATTATGGTTATTTACTAATTAGAACAGTTTGATGAGCAATAGGAGGGAAATTTGCAAGAATACCTTTGTTATTCAGGGTACATATATGTTAAATTACTAATCGATAAATTCCTTCTCCATTTGCCATTTCGGGAGAAGTGAAAGATTTTGTAGCAAGCAGGATCTTTAGAATGGTTGTGAGGGGATGTGTGGTTCCTTGCTAGATTTTATGTTCTCCGTGAGGCTTAGTGATGTAGTTATTGTGTAATTACTCCTCAAGTTTTATTTTACTTGTTTGAAGCCCCTTCCTTTTATGGGATTTTTTTTAGATGCCCGTGTATTTGTTCATTTTTTTTTCCAATGAAAGATTGGATTTTTACCATTACAAAATAAAAAAAACAAGGTAGAATTTGAACCTTGATAATGCACAAATGTTTGTTTCACTGTTCAGAACTAAAATATTGACTGTCGAGTTGTTGAACAAGCAACAGGTAATACTGATTTAAGGATGACTTGCATACACTTGAGGAAATGTCCTTTTCTGGGTGGATTACAGGAAAAAAAAAAATTATTTGAACTAAAAAATACTCTTAATTTCAAAAGTTACAATATTATCAAAAGACAATATTAGCTTTGACCTTTAATAAACATTTCAAAGCTACTAGAAATCAATTAGAATATTGAATGAAAAGTCAACAAGACACTGGCTCAAAATGACATGGCGGTGACTAGAATGAGTCATGTTTCCTCTAAAAGAGTAGTGTTCTACCACATTGACTTTTTGGTCAACTTCTAACAAATTTTCTACTTTAAATATAGTTTTGAAACATTTATGAAGATCATGGGTGTTAAATTACCAATGAACTCAAAAGCTTAAGCAGATGGTTCATGATAAATTTAATTACATTAACACTTCCTTCACTTGTGGGTTTGGAAATTTGTAGAAGGCCAACAAATGGAAGTCAATATAATTGTGGAAGAAATAACTTTCCATATGTTAAATGACGGATCCAACCCAAAAGCTTAAGCTATTGAGCTTTGGTAAATTTAATTACATTAATACTTCAATAAATTTTGCAACAAAAGAATGAGGTATTTTTTATAAACAAAAAGCAAAATTCAAAAGTTACAATGTAAGATTTTAGTAGAAATACCTAAGTGACCCCTATACAATCAAAGATCCCCTAACTCAAAAAAGTTCCAATCCTTTTAGAAGAACATCCGTGCCTCCCAAAAGATACTCCCTGATGGAATTGTTCGCGTTGATAACATTCTTGGTAATTTTGTCATTGACATAAATCAATCGATCTTCAGTCATTACCATATGTAGAACTATGTTGTCATTACCATGTGTAGATATAAATATTTTGTAACTTTTTGGCAAAAGATAGATTTCAAATGTCATAATCATGTATAAGACTATTCAGTCCTTAGATCTGAACGGATGAAAAATATCAGTTCTTGTTACAAATGGAATTCTTGATGAGTATTCGTTTAAGGATTAGTGAAATGTGAGACTGCCTTCTAATATTGGTGGTATTTTCATTTACAACATTTGATTGGTGAATTTGAAATTAGTCTTGAAAAGGGTTTTGGCATCTCCCTTTCAGAAACAATAACTTCTTACCATTTGTTTTATAGCCTATAACATTTCATAATTGTAAATATTTAACATAATTAAAGATTGTTTGACCAGGGGGCAGTTGGTTTAAGGATACGAGTGTTCGACCGGGTGCTATGCTTTGTTAACTGTCATTTTGCTGCACATTTAGAAGCAGTCAACCGTCGCAACGCAGATTTTGATCATGTATATCGCACTATGTCTTTCCAACGGCCGTCCAATCCTTTGAGTACTGCAGCTGGTAGAGTATATTGGTTCTTCTTTTTGCACTTTCCTTATTAACGCATTTGTCTTAACTAGTTTAAAGACCTGGTTTGTCTTTGCTCCTTTGTTGTGTAGTTTGTGCTTCACCCACTGCTCAGTCAGCTCGTAGTTCAAATGTAAGTGTATAATTTATTGTAGCATGGTCCATTCATTCTTTTAAATTACTTTCTACTAATTTTTAACTAAGATATACTTCAGTTTCTTGCTCCTTTTATCTGGGGTGTAAATGATGGGGAGTTTTTCTTCCACAGGTTGTTAGTGGGTCCTCTGCAGAAATGACACCTGAGTTGTCTGAGGCAGATCTGATCATTTTTCTTGGTGATTTTAATTATCGGCTCGACGGTGTATCTTATGATGAAGCTAGGGATTTTATTTCTCAAAGAAGCTTTGATTGGCTCAAAGAAAGGGATCAACTCCGTACAGAGATGGAATCTGGAAATGTCTTCCAAGGGATGCGTGAAGCAGTTATTACATTTCCTCCCACATATAAATTTGAGAGGCAACAACAAGGATTGGCAGGTAGCTTTTTGATGCCGTTAAATGGTAGTATTATCGGTTCAAGCTACTCGAGAATTAATTACTGCTATTAAAAAAAAAGGGATTTGCTGATTCTCATTGTTTCCTTACGCCCTTTTTAGGCTCTTAGATGCATACCATCTTGAATCTTTCTTAATCACAAGTAATAGAAAATGAGAAAGTCTACATGTTCCAGGATCAAAACCTGAATTCGATAAAAAAAAATTGATTCCTTGATTTTAAAAAAAAAAGAAAGAAAGTGGGGGGCAATTATAATCGGAGAGGGTTTTCTGTTTCTATCCTGCAATATAGGTTACTTGATTTTTCTGATGGTTTTAATATCAAATTTATTTGTCCTGTTTAATAGGATATGATTCTGGGGAAAAGAAGCGTGTCCCTGCTTGGTGTGACAGGATACTATATCGTGATAGTCGATCATCTTTGGCATCTGGATGCAGCCTAGACTGTCCTGTAGTCGCTTCAGTATCACAGTATGTCATCCAATTTTAATTTTCTTTCTATATGTAGCAATTGAATTAGACGCTTGGGCTCAACTATTTACTTTTGAGAAGATTTGGTAAGTGGGTGAGGAACTCCTATGAGTGTTGTTTCCTCATTTATATTGTATCCCGAGTAAGAAGTTGTATATTGTGGCTTCTATCTTATCATCCTCCAATCCTTTTTCTCCTCGTTGTCTTTGGGCTTTTCACATCATTTTTCCGATAGAAAGGCGTTAGACGTTGGGACCCCAAATTATTCAGGCAACTCTCTTTTTTGTTTGTTGTCTGCCCCTTCCCCGCCCCATTTTGCCTCCGTTTTCTCCCCCACCTAGAAGGTTAAAATTTCATGGAAAACTAAGTTTTTCTGTGTAGTGGGTTGTACATGGGAGAGTCAACTCTATGGATCGGGTCCAAAGACATTCTTCCTCTATGTTGTTCCTACTCAGCCAATTGGAGGCTCTTCATCAGTTGTTGTGGGACTGTCACTTTGTCCAGTCTCTCTAGGTTGGGTTCGGTGGCTGGATTCGTTTTTGTTATGTTTGACATAGAATTGTGGCAGCTATGTTTCACAATCAGCGGGGCAAATGAGCCTCGAGAAAGTAATCGAGGACAATGACTAAATTAAGTGGGGGAGAATATCACAATCTACAATATGATTGTGACCCGAGTAAGTCATCGAGGACGATGACTAAGTTAAGTGCGGGAGAATGTCACAACCATACTATGAAGAGAGTAGTTTGTGACCCTCACGCCATGACAAGCAAAGTGGCGTCCCTCAAGAGACGCCCATCCAGGCATATGCAGGCCAATATAGAAGAGTGCCATGATGCGATCGAGGAGGACGATGCATCATCCAACACACCACCACGCAAAGTGGGCATCGAAGACATGTTGAGACATAAGCAAGACAGAGACATCAAAATAGACATGAATGACAAAGATAGGTTTGTTGAAGGGCCGGGGTAGGGCCCCGAGCCTTAACCTCAAAATTCGGGGTTTCGGAAGGAATTTGGGCATGCGGTTCGGGAGTTAAGTCCGTCCATATGAAATATGAATGCTCGCCAAGTTTAGTGTCAATCGGACAATGCACGACACTGTATGACACCTCACCAAAATCATGTCTACACTAGTAGAATGAAAATGGCTCAAAATGTACTATAGGGGGAACCATGGTGCTAACTCTCCACCACCCCTGGGCCCTGTGGCCTAAGTGAGCTACCCTGTGGCACATACGTGTGTCACAGTGTGGGTGAGTGTGCCGAGACGAGTGCCTCGGGCGACTTCCTTTGGAATGGGTTTTTAAAGGACAGTACTCGGCGACACGGGTGTGCCAGTATTGCTCCCTAACCCACGTGTTGGAGGTTGCTACATACACCCGCTATCCGGTATGGTATCCGTAAATGACTCGGCATGGGCACGGGAGGGCCTATGCCTCGATAGAACCCGGATGGATGGATGTTCGGGAAGTCCCGATGAGATGAACGACACACGGGCCCATTCTTGATGGTATGACCGAATGAGTTATGATGACCGACGACATCCCGAGACTCGGGATGGCGTCAAGACATATGGACCCTGTCGATGGAGATCGAGATGACAAGATGAGATGCGACGTTGCATTGAGAGACATTGGCCCGAGCAAAGCCAAGGTCGAGCCGAATGACTTGGCCTAGCGTAGAGGCAAGTCGGATGTGTCGCAGACGATTGAACATGCATGCGCAGGCGGCGTGTGTGGTTGAACAAGCTTGGATTTCGCACAAGCGATGTTCGATTGACTAAGACAAACCTCGCCTAAGGTCCGACGAAGCAACAAAGCCGGGGCGAAAAATATATATGGGGCTTAATTTCCCTTAAGGCTAGTCGTGAGCGTGTCAAGATCACGACGCCGTACGGTAAAAAATGTAGGACCGTGACACTACGCTCACGCTCTTGGTTCTACTTTTCGGGAGGAGGGTACTAACTTTTGACAAACTAGCTTCTTTGCCACTTTGGAGGGGGTTTGGTTTGAAATGAAAAATAGGATCTTTAGGGAGGTGGAACGGTTTGTGCAATGAGGAATTGGGAAGTGGTGAGGTTTAATGTCTCTATGGGCTTAGTTCACGAACCTATCTTAATTGTAATAAATCACCACTAGGCCTAATAGTTTGTGTAACGACCTAGATCCAACGCTAGCAGATATTGTCTCTTTGGGCTTTCCCTTTCGGGCTTCCCCTCAAGGTTTTAAAAAGCGTATGCTAGGGGAAGGTTTCCACACCCTTACATCGTCCGGTGTCTGGCTATCCACCACTAGCATATATTGTCCTCTTTGGGCTTTCCCTCCGGGATAGACACAAGGCGGTGTGCCAGTAAGGACGCTGGGCCCAAAAGGGGGATGGATTTGGGGGCGGTCCCACATCGATTGGAGGAAGGAAAGAGTGTCAGTGAGGACGCTGGGCCCCGAAGGGGGGTGGATTGTGATGTCCCACATTAGTTGGGGAGGAGAACAAATCACCATTTATAAGGGTGTGGAAACCTTCCCCTAGTAGACGCATTTTAAAGCCTTGAGGGGAAGCCCGAAAGGGAAAGTCCAAAGAAGACAATATCTGTTAACGGTGGATCTGGGTTGTTACAGTTTGCAATAAATTAATCTTTTTTACAAACTTCCTTTGGCCTTCTTGGAAATCTTGACCTTCCATAGTGAGGTGAAAGAAGGAAATATACTTTATTTGTCTGCATGATTGTCCGGGGATATTGAAATTTCCTTGTCTATTGCACGCCCTTCTCTCTTTGTACATGCAACTAGGGTAACTGCTGCTAGCTTTATTACTTCCGTTGGTGTTTGTTTGCTATGCTTTCCTTGTAGTATGGTATGCTGTAGCTAATAATTCTCTAGGTTGTACTTGTACAAAAGGAGAAAGAAACAAGTGGGTCGTTTTATAGGATAACTTCGCCCTCAAGCTCGAGGTTTTAATTTTTTCATAGTAGTACTTTGGTTGACTTCCGCTTTACTAGTGACTAAATCTGCTTCGTTGAAATCCATATTGCGACGAGCATTTTCTGCTGCCAAATAAACCAAATAAAAAATAGGATAACATGCTCGATAAGGCATGAATTTGAGTATTACTAGTGTTTCGTAGTAGGAACGTCCATAAATCTGATCAATTACTCTTCGCGCTATGTAAGGGGACATACATATATGACCTAAAGCGTATACTTCTGTAGATGGATGCTAGTATGTTTCTTATCAGGTTCTTCTCCAATCATGCCCCTTCAATTTGAATGCTATTACTTTTTTTTCTTATTAATCTGGTTTTGTGAAGTACAAAGATTCGAATGCGGAATATGATTCGACATGGTTTTCGTTACTACCAAGACTGATGTCAAATTTTACAGTTTTTTTCTTCCTGTTTGGAGAACTGATTCCTTCCTGTACAGGTATGAGGCTTGTATGGATGTGGTAGATAGTGATCATAAGCCTGTTCGCTGTTTATTTGATATCAATATTGCTCGAGTTCATGAGTCTGTAAGAAGGCAAGAGTTTGGAGAAATTCTTCATTCAAATGAGAAAATTAAACATATGCTGGAAGTGTCATGCAAGATTCCTGAAGTTATTGTCAGCACAAACAACATACTTCTTCAAAACGATGATATATCTCTTCTACGTGTTACGAATAAATGCGAGAATAGCGATGCTATATTTAAAATAATTTGTGAAGGTCAGTCTACAATTCGAGTGAACGGGAAAGCGTCGGGTCATTATAGTTTTCGAGGTTCTTTCGGCTTTCCACGATGGCTCGAGGTAACTTCATTTATTTACCTCGATCATCTACTTATAATTTGGTCTGCCTGAGTTTTGCATTCCTAAACTGAACATTGCATCAAACGATGATATCGATGAGTTGTTTCTTGCTGTTGTAACAGGTCTCTCCTGCAACTGGAATCATCAAACCGAATCAAATCGTCGAGGTATCAGTTCGTCTAGAGGAATCTCATATGTCAGAAGGATTTGTTGATGGTCAACCACGAAACTCATGGTGCGAAGTGACCAGAGACAAAGAGGTTATGTTGCTTGTCAAGGTGTATGGAACCTGTTCTAGTAAGTCCAAGAATCATCGAATTCGTGTGCGCCACTGTGTTTCGCCCAAGACGGAAGGAACCGAGTCCAAAACCAATAACTCTACTCAAATTCAAGGAAAAGTTCTTCATCGATCTGATATTCAACGTCTCAGCATGCCGAGCGATGTGGTTGACCATCTACGAAATATGCATACCCCTTAAGACGGATTTTCGACAGATTTAGCATGGTAATACTCATCCAAGATTGTGTGAAAATATCATGCCTCAATTCTACCTGCATCTTGGTTTACATAATACCTGAGGTATCTCTTCCTGTTTTGAATCAAAACTTACTGCTTTGATTTGTGTGAATAGTGTTCATTCAATAACGTGTTCATTTCTTGAAATTCTGCACACAATTTCCTGACGAGTCCATGTCCAGGTGGTTGTTTATGAGTAGATTCACAAATCTGTAGATTAAAATTGTATACAGAAACAGCTGTAGAGTAGGTGAGGCTGTTTCATTTCCTCTTCCTTAAATGTTATATCCCAGAAACATCTGTGTTTGTGGAACTGGTTTTGATGCGTCCAAGTTTAAGTTCCTTGAACAAACTTTTTAAGCGAATTGAAAATATGCGTCTCTAGCTATGGAGTGTTGATTTTTTTAAAAAAAAAAATTTTGTACGAATTTGTCCATTTGTTTTATATGATTACTTGGGAGTGTTGATTTTTTTTTTTTTTTTTTTTAATTGTTTGTCATGTTTGAATGCAGAAGTGTGCACATGAATGAAAGCTTGGAATCTTTTCTTTTTGATTGTGAATGGCAAATATAATATAAAGAGAGAAGCTCGAGCAAAACCGCAACTTCGAAGAATATGATCAAGATCTTCATTCGTCCTCTAACAGAAAATGCAACAAGATGGCTCTATCATCGTAAGCATCCGAGGTTATCCGAAGTGTTAACCGTGCATAAAACGAATATAATTGACTACAAAAAAAAAAAACGTCCACAAATTCGGATTCCAAAAGTGAACATTTCTTCTCCCCAACATAAGCTCAAACTCCTATTGCCTTGTGAGTTTTTGATTAATTGGACTTGTTCGTGACTCATTTTAATCACTTTCAAATTCTTTTTTATTTCCTTTATAGAAACATCAATAGATTACAAACAAAAAAATGTTTTATCATTGGGCAAAAGAAGAGAGTTTAACCAAGATAAAGCAAAAAAATGTAGATCCTATAAAATAAAGTTGAGGGACAATATTAAATTCCTCAATTTTGCGCCAATTTGAAAATTACATGACAGTTCATGGTGAAACTGAATGCTAACACTGATATGAATATTGTTCATATGATTTCATCAAACCATGAAAAAAAAAATGAGAACAATACTAAGATTAACGAGCTTCGGGTGAGACTCAATCCCGCTAATTTGGATATCAACTAGTCACCAGCTCGGGTAAAATCTACAGAGGAGCCTGCTTATGCACCAAGGTGTTGGAAAGGAAAGGTTAAGAGAAAATGCATAGATGTGAGTTTGAAAGAATAATAACTTTTCACATTTCAATTATTATTCTAACAAGATGTTAAAAACAAACACCTTTTTATATATAATTTTTAAATTTGAGCTTAAAATTGAAACTTCCAACTTCTTTTGGGTAACGAAATCTTGGTTTTAAAAGAGAGAACAAAAATAAAGTAATCTTCTATTTTTAGTGTCATTTTCCTTTTATAACCCGAACCAAACAAAGGAATTCCAGAAAAATGAATCAAATACATTATGGAAATGGTCTGTTATCCCGAACATAACTAAATTTAACTTTAGAGCCACACGAATTACTTTCAAATCCTTTCAACTTTGCAAAGATTCTCACCTGGCCTTCATGTCCACCACCAATATTCTCCCCCAAGACAATCATAGCCTCCTATTTTTAACCTAGAACCTTCCTTTCTTATAATGAATATATAAACAGAACCATTCTTCTCTATAACCAACTCATTCATTTATTTGTCTCAACAGTTCTATATAACCATTCACATCCCAAATCTCAAAAGGGTTTTGTTCAGATGGTGAGAATATGGAGGTTTACAGAAAAACCTGGATTGAAGCAGCTCCAGCTCCCTTGATTGCCCATCAAAAGCCTTCAATTCCTCCAAAGTTGGAGCCTATTGTAGAGGAACGTTTGGAGAGCTCTCAGATCCTCCTGGCTAAGATGACCTTTCTTCTTCCTGTTTTGCTTTCTTTCTCTCTACTTTTCCCTGTATAAGCAAGTATAATATTCAATAGCAACTGGTAAATTAGGAGATTTGAGCAGCACCTGCCTCTCTTAAACAGAAAATAGAAAGCGATGGGCTCTGTTCATCTATCAACAACTTATTTCAAATCCAAAATACATTCTACATCTGAAATGCCCAACTTCATTGCCATTGCCAACCATCTTCATCCCTACTCCGCCTATATTTTCATTGTAAATCTTCTCTAGTTGCATATCGGGTCAGGAAGTAGGTAATGGATGAAGAGGAGGGTGGGAAGACCAAATATTTGAACAGCAACAAACCAAATTCAAACATTCCCTATAATGTTGTTGGGTTGGGTGACAGAAAAAAGGCTGCTATTGTCATTTCTTTTCATGAGATTGTCACTAAAGGCTTTCCGTTTCACAGTTGGAAACCAACTTCGTTTATTCAATGATTCCCGTGGTCCAAACTGGAGGAACGATTATGGAAGCAGGCAGCATCTTTTCCCCATTCTAAATAGTAAAAGCATTAATTACTAAAATTTCTTACTAAAAATGCGAAGATAGCAGAAGATCATAGTACAGAAACATCCTATAATAGGTATCTATAAGATTATACAGTTACAGAAGTAACACAAGATGGAATAAGAACTCGTGCCTCGTACAAAAATAACTTTCCTCTAAGATAAACAGAACTACCTTTTGTTCTATTTCAAATCAGGAAGCAACATCTTTCAACTCCCCAACTTGAACGCATCGACGAAGAGGCCTAAGCATACGCCGGCTTTCCAATAGTTTATCAGTACTATTAATGATTTCAACCTCCTAGTTAATAGAGGTGGTGGCTTCTTGTACATGAGTATACCAATCCATTCAATGGCAGCAACCACCACACCAGCAACCAAAACATCCCAGTCACCCGTCTGCCCAAGAATTGTAGCAAGAGCATTGGCTGTATAGAAACCCAAAAGAAGCAAAAATATTTTTGTAGGAAAGTTCTTTCTAGCTGAGTTTAGTTTTTCCAGCAACTGTCTGGCACCTGCACTAACTAGCCTGCCTAATCGAGTACGACCCAGATTCGACTCATTACCATCATCAAGGTTGTCTCCCCCACCGTTACTAGATACCCCACCTGTGTCTAATGCAAAGGCTAATTGTTGTAGATGTCTACTCGTCCGGAAACTGTAAAAAATAACATCACAAACGATACGGAGTTTACTTTTCTTCTTATAAATAAGAAAAGAAAAAAAAAACTTTTATATATAAAAGTGAAAGAATGTACGAGGACATACAAAAAATGAGCCCGCAAAAGGAGACTTAACATTAACTACAGAAAGAGACTTCAATCCAAAAGAAAGAGAACAAACTAGTAATTAAAAAAGAATGGACACTCACAAGATGCATTAAATCTAGCAACCTCCCCAAATCCCCTCCCAAGATTTCTCAACCTCCCTAGACGTGCTACTTATCTATTCCTCTCCAGCTTAACTTCTGTGCTCAACAAAATTAGCATTCATCCAATACTATTAAGACATGATCTTATGGACCTATAATTCTCCAGCTAAAATGGAAATATATGCAAGAAGAATAGCACAGGTCTCTTAACAACACGTGATAAAAGTTTATAAATTCCACATCTACCTTTTGCGAGGAAAAGGTGCAGACTTCAAGCAAAGAGTTGAATTGTGTCCATTAAGGATAGCCACATAGTCCATGTTATGGATTAGGCAAGGCATATAAGTAAGACATAATCCTTTGGAGATATAATTCGCTATTGTCAATAATCTGGACTGCATAATCATAGCTTCCATTCGAGCAGGTGGCTATCTGCATACTGATATTGCCATTTATTACACAATCTTCGAATCAAAAGAGACAGCCTCTGTACTACAAATTAAAATCAAATCAAAATTGTTCAATCTACAACTTTGCAACAAATCTAAAATCCAATGTTTAGAATTCAAATCAATGCGTAGGATATTCAACATATGATCACTATCGTGCATCCCATTCGTATAACTTGTGTAACCGAAATGCAAGAGATAAAAGGAGAAATATCAAACAGTTGCAGTCTAGTCGGCCTATGATGCTCGAAGAACATTCAAGCAAGTATTTCAGCAGTGAATTAGAACACACAACAAATTCAGGCAAGAGAAATACAAATGAAATTTCGAACCGAGAAAATTACCAGTAAAGATCTTGCCGGAGGTTGAAATTGCTGGAAACTTCAAATGCCGCTGGAATTGATAGCGCCGAGACGAAACCCTAGCGGCGAAATGCGTCAAACGAAGGGCGATGTGGTTACCCTCATCCTCGAAAATCGTTGTCCTAGAGGAAATTGTTCACAAAATCTGTTTCGTTGCAGAGAAAGACAATGAACAGCATTTTTTTTTGTTTCTTAACCAATAATATTAATAAGAGAAATAGAAGGCCTAAAAATTAAATATTTTCAACTATTTTATTATATTATTTAATTTTAGATAATTATTTTTCTTAATTTAATTATTTTATTTTATTTTATCTACAAAATTCACTAACACATAATTAAAAAGGATTGAAAGTGAACTTGTAATTCCAAATTTATTTTTTGGGTTTTTCTTTTGGACTTTCCCTTTAAAACCCGTCACAATCTGCAATATGATTGTGACTCGAGTAAGTCATCGAGGACGATGACTAAGTTAAGTGGAGGAGAATGTCACAACTATAGTATGAAGACAGTAGGTTGTGACCCTCACGCCATGACAAGCAAAGGGGCGTCCCTCAAGAGACGCCTCATCCGGCCATATGCAGGCCAACATAGAAGAATGCCATGATGCGATCGAGGAGGACGATGCATCATCCAACACACCACCACGCAAAGTGGGTATTGAAGATATATGTTGAGACATAAGCATAACAGAGACATTAGCATAAACATGAAGGACAAGATAGGCTTGTTGAAGGGCCAGGTAGGGCCCCGACCCTTAACCTCAACAGTCAGGGTTTCGGAAGGAATTTGGGCATGTGGTTCGGGAGTTAAGTCCGTCCATATGAAATATGAATGCTCGCCAAGTTTGATGTCAATCGGACATTGGACGGACAATGCACGACACCGTCTGTCAGTCTGTCTGATAGAGAGAGGTTTCCACACCGTTATAAAGAATGTTTCTTCTCCTCTCCAACCAATATGGGATCTCACAATCCCCTTCGGAGCCAGTGTCCTCACTGTCACTCATCCCCTTCTTCAATCAGCATGGAACCCTCAATCCACCCCCATTTGGGACCCATAGTCCCTGACACACTGCCTAGGTGTCTAGGTTTGATACCATTTGTGACAGTCCAAACCTACCGCAAACAGATATTGTCGTCTCTTTTTCCCTTTTGGGCTTTTTCTCAAGATTTTTAAAAAGTGTCTACTAGGGAGAGATTTCACACCCTTATAAATAATGATTCGTTCTCTTCCCCAACCGATATGGGATCTCACAATCATAGTGGTAGGTTCACGTAGAAAATGCAACTCTAACTTTATCTATAATAGTATCAAGATTATTCCGAATGTTTTCATCTCCCAAATGCTCTTTTACATACAAAACATCGTCTAAATCTTCAAAATCGGGAGAGAAACAATTTTGGCCTTTGGAACTCTCATTTCTCTTTATTTTGCACATTCGTGGTTGACTTTGGCTAATTTACAGAATGATGTTGTGTTTATAAGTAAAAAATAATCTCTAGTACGAGGTCTTTTGGGAAAAACCAAAAGCAAAAACGCTAGAGCTTATCCTCAAAGTAGACAATATCATACCATTGTGAAGAGTCGTGATTCCTAACATTGCTTGAATAAACCAACGAAACAAGCTTTTCATTCACACAAATGATTTGGATTTGTGTGTTACTGATTGAGAAGATAATTATGTGTGGGTTCTCTTTCAAATAAAGCATGACATAAATAATCAGACAAAAAGTCTTCTAATCACTTCTCGATGTCAATTGGTGTTTATTGTCACTCAAACTTGTAAATTTGCTCAAGATGTAATGTATAAGCATATTGAATCTTCTTTACCTTACTTCTTATAATCGATCCTTCAAATACATGCAAATGATCAGTAGTCAGATTCATATCACAGTGGACGTACCTGATGCCCCTAGGACTGATTGTTATGAATGCCATGAAACAAGCAACGAACATGGCTGAAGAACAAGCTGGCTGCCAAGCACAACCACAACAGTCAGCTGCTACAATACAACGCCCACCTGGTTCGTAAGACGACGATAGGGGAACTTTTGCTGTGATAGAACAATCGTCACGGATAGAGTTCACAACTCAACTTAAAAATACTTTGTCTCGACCCAATATTTTACTAGGACCGTGACTAATGACAAGATACAAATGCACAAAGTGATTTAAATATGAAATAGAGAAAATATTTAAATTCCAATAAGTTTTTGAACGACAAACAAACCGAACACATGACAGTTTTGAAATAAATTTCGAAAGAATGAAAATTCAAAATAAAGACTGGACTAACGCCCCGGGACAACCCGTTCCTCTGTGACGATCCCTGCCTCCATCACGCCAGCCCTTGACCAATGCCTCGCGCTCCTGAAAAAGAAAAACATAGCAAGGATGAGTATAAAAATTATACTCAGTAAGCCACCTACTTGTAGGCTCTCTTCGCATCCTAATTTAACAGGTTCCCACGGTTTCCTAATTCGATTCTAGGACATCTGGTTCTAATCTTAGTCCCTTGAAGCTTGCCCCTTGGGTTTCACCGGTTCATCATCCTTTCATTAGTCACCTAAAGATTCCTTACGCCAAGTTAATATGGACGGTATCTCTCTATGAGGTGCTACCTTCACATGGCTATTTGGGACTACATGGTGTCTAGCCTAAGGGAGTGCTGAATACCCCTAAGCCCATATAGTCCCCCTATGGGGGGCGCGACCCCAACCAGTTCCCATGCAGCTAATGGGTTGTACGACGTGGGGACACATTTCCCATGCGAAATGGCTAAGAGTAGTAAGGACTGATCAGGGACCCTTGGTCCTCCCACGAAGCTATAGATACTGTTCTCACACTAGCAATCTATGAACACCCATGAGGTACCTTGTTGCCGTAGTAATCTGCTAAGTTCCTAGGGGAAAGTTAAGTCTGGCTAGAGCGACATATCGCTCCTAATAGTAATCCCCTAAGCTTATCATAGAAATGGGCCCTAGCAATTAACAGAGTGTGCATGCAACCGTCTTCTAACATCATAATATATAATTCATGCAAACTAGGCATGCCGGCTCAACGGGGCGATGACCTCCATCAAGCACCTAGAACACGGAGTTCGCGCTCAATGGAGCGAATTCATCCATCAAGCACCCGGAACGCGGAATACACAATTTCAACATAAATTAAACGCATGCATACGTACGACGGAAGCTTAAAGCATACAAGCAACACTCAGATAATTCACCCAATACAATCATAATAATCAATCAGACTAATATTTTACATGATGAGCTAATCTGAAGCAAAATTACTAACATGCATGCAATCCAAGCGAATCCTAGAAGTATTTCTTCCTAAATATCGGATGATGACTTACCTTGTTGACGCGTGCCTATTTGCTAGCGTTTCTTTGCCGTGAGGTGTCCAAAAATACTGATTTCTATAAATTAGGTCCCTATTCACGTAAAAACAGTATTAGAACTGGAATCGGGAAAAAAATCGGGCAAACAAAGGGCAAATGGGCCAAAACGGTTGTTCCACGCGCGCTGGGACTGTAAAGGCCACACGCGTGGGAGTGCGCCAGTCGCAGGTCGCACGTAAGGCAGCTTCTGCGCAGGTGTGGGTCGACCGTTATAGGCGACATATACCGGACGAGTTAAGAGCATCGGAAGTCCGCTCACCGTTCTCCGTTGACTCTCAGATCTCCGCCTCCGGGTTGAGGTATCGACCAAACTTCTTCACAGATCGTGCGTAGAGTTGTTCCTAGGTGAATATTTCAGCATTTTAGGACTCGATTCACATAGAAAAAGCTCAGATTTGAGAAATGTCGTTCAGAACCTTACCTCTCTAAATGTTCTTGGATCTTGACGGAGCGTCGGCCTCGCTAGCCTCTCAGTCCTTGTACAAGTCTCGTCTGAAGGTGAATTTCGACATGGTCCGATAAACTTCGCGACTGATTCCTCTCCATTTTCTCTCTAAATCCCATTTATTTGTCAGACTGATTTTCACTTCCTACATCATTTTCCCTCTCATGACAACTAAAACCCCATACCAATTGATATAAATCATCATCGTCAGTTCCCTAATTTGACTTTTTTTTTAATGGTAAGTATTTAATAAAAATTTCATACACTTCAAAACTAACTCGAAAACAATTCTAACCCCATATCTTTATTTCAGGTTGAGTTAAGACGTCGGATTGTTTTTTTTAATTATTTTTAAAAATGTCTCAATTATATGAAGTCTTATAAAGTGCAAATATCAAATATTTACAAGTCATCGTCATTATTGTTGAATGATAAAAGTCCCACATCCGCTAATTTAAGAAATGATCCTAGGTTTATAAACAAAGAATACCCTCTTGATATGAGGCCTTTTGGACAAGCCCAAATCAATGTTCAAAGTGGACAATATCATACCATTGTAGTACGATTGTCAAAGCAATGTTCAAAGTGGACAATATCATACAATTGTAGTACTCCATTGTAGTACGATTGTGGAGAGTCGTGTTCGTTTAACATGATATCAGAGCCATGCCCGAGTCGTGTTCGTTTAACATGATATTAAAGCCATGCCCTTAACTTAGTCGTGCCAATAGAAAGAACTCCAAAAGAAAGGGAGTCGAGACTCAAATTTTTTCTTATAAATATTATTACTTATATATTACAAACTTTAGAAATTATGTATTAGAAATATTGATTTTTCTTTAATTAAAATATGGGAATCACTACAAATATAAATGGGACCCGCCTGCTACACCAAAATCTAGATATCCGAGAACGACAAAAAAAGAAAAATAAATAAATAAAAAAGGAAAAAAAAAGTAAAAAAAGAAAGGCGATGAATGCCAAATGCCCTTTTTCAGCTAGTGTGCGACACTCCACTCTTGGAACTGTGTGGTTTCTCTTTTAACATTCTCACTCCCTGTTTCCTTCTTAATCAATCAGCCATGGCGGCCGCCATATCGCTTTGCCCAGTTTCTGCGAAAGCTCACAGCTCTTGCTATTCATCACTTGCCTCTAGCTATGTCTTCTCCAAGAGTTTGATTGGTGGCTTCCAGAAAGCGCAGAAATTGAACAGTTTTCAGCTTCCGACGCTGCGTGTTTCTTCTGCTGCTGTTAATGATAGTGTGGTGACTGTAAGCGACTCCTCTCGTCCCGCCATTCGTTTAGCGTGAGTACTCTGCAAAACCTTCTGTTCATTCTTCTTCAATTTTCTTATTTCTTGTTTTTGGTTCTCGTTTGTATCTTGTTCTATTGGCTATTTTCGGTTTTCCACTTATTGAAACACAATGAGTATTGTCTGCTTGGTTGCTTCACCGTTCATTTTGTCTTTGAGATATCATTTTATCGTTTTATTTGTTGATATATGAAATTTACAACAGTGAGGGCTAATTGGTTTACCGAAAAAATCTCCCACTGGCGGAAATAGAGTAGTTACGTAATTGTTGAGTATCAAAGCAGTTTAATGAGTATCAAGTTCACTTTCACTCGTCTATTTCTGAATGAAAAATTCTTTCCTGTTAACGGTCGTGCATGAATCTTGCCCACCATTCAATTGTTAACAAGAAGAGAGAAAATATTTTCCATCTTTCTCTTTAGTAGCCGTGCTTTCTAGCTTTGTTGTCATAATTGAATGCAAGGAGATTCCAGCATATTGGTATGGAACCAAGTATCGTTCTTTCTTATTTGTTATTTTCTAGTAATTCCCTTTCATGCAACTCTTTTTTTTTTCCGAAGTGAAGTTATAAGTTTGGTTTCTAAATTTTGATTGTTGTGGCAAAGTTTTACTTACATCCTTGAATTTTTTATTTTGATTCTTATAAATTTCTGCTAGTACCATCGTTGCTTAAATGATGATATGCATATTGAGTACACTAGAGAATGATGATTTGACATGACGTGACAATAGATGGTAAGTAGGGGTGGGCTAGCCTGACAAATAAGAGCAAGAGATGACAAGTAGGCCACGAAACTTGTCTTAAAATGTATTTTGGCTGATCATCACATCGGTTGTTTTGTTTATCCACCCTTATTTTGTCTAACTAGACTCTTCACTTGTGTCACATTGTGCCAACTCATGTTTGTTAGTTTAATCTACGCGCCACATCAATGTCATAGTAATGGTGTTAATGACTTATTCCCATCACTGGAAGTCCTAGATCCTAGCGACAACTTTTAAAGTTGATGAACTAAACTAAATTTTTGGGGCTAAATTTGTAATTGTACACCTTTTATTTTCCTGGTAAAATCTAACCCATTTTTTTATTACCTGGGTTATTACATCTTTTTTAGTGCTAAAAGGGATCATTTTCCTCAATTATAGTATTTTTTTTTTTAGAATTCATCCTGCATGTTACAAAGTTCAAGGTGACGTTGTATTCTTTTTTTTGTTTTGTTTTTTGCTTTCAGGGTGAAGCGACATACTATATCTGTGTTTGTTGGGGATGAAAGTGGAATTATAAACCGAATTGCGGGTGTCTTTGCTAGGAGAGGTTACAACATTGAGTCACTTGCCGTCGGATTGAACAAGGATAAGGCTCTGTTTACCATTGTTGTTACTGGAACAGAGAATGTCTTGAGACAAGTTGTGGAGCAGCTACACAAACTTGTCAATGTTATCAAGGTTTGGTTAATTCTTTATGCTATCTTTCTTTACTTCGGAAAGATGTATGGGCGGGTGGGCAATCTTTTTATATACAATTTCATTGTCTTTTCGGGGTTGCTGTTGACAAAGGGGATTGGTGTGTGATAGTTGGGGGTTGTTGGTCTTGGAAGAGCATTCTTGAAGAAATTTGAGTAGGCTGCAGTAGGGAGTTTTCTGGCTAGACAGGAGATCCTTCGTTTACAAATTGAAATCTGATTAAAGGGTCAGTATTCTTGAATTTTGTTTCTTAAACATAGAGGATTGTAGAAGTTTATGCTCAAAAAAGGTAATCACAGGTAAAAGGCTTCATTTGGAGACACTCTGTCAACGTATTCGATCAATTCTGGTTGAGAAGATCTTTTTAGGTCTTGATTCAGCTTCTTTTAACTTTAATTTTACATGCCACAAGATAAGAAGCTTAAGATGTCTCCTCTTTGATTTCTTTGTTGCTGGTGTTTACATTTGTCTGGGTTATAGAGATGTTCGTTTTGTGGAGCCTTAATCCTTCTGTTAGGTTTTCCTTTAGCTCGTTCTTTCTCCTCTTATGTGCCTCTCCTTTTCCTAGCTCTCCTTATTTTATTTGCTTCAGAAGGTGAGGGCTTTGAGGAAGATAAGAATCTTTGCCTAGGAAGTCATGCATGGGAAGATTACATTATCAGCTCAATGCAGAGGCTTCCACTATATTTTTGGTGAAGTGAAGGAGTAGTGCCGCCATGCTGCTATTTGTAGATTTGTTTATAGTATAATTGTATAATTGGTTTAGATTAAAACATTAGTCATTTATCTTTTAATTATTTTCCCTTTTTTATTTAGTTTCTTTGAAAGAAATTTATCTCGTATTATTTACCCACTATTGGGTCATTTGTTTCATGAGAAAGTATTCCCTCCAAAAATAACAATTTATAACACTCTCTAAACTCTTAAGATATTTCAATTTATCAGGTGGAAGATATCTCAAAAGAGCCCCAAGTGGAGCGTGAGTTGGTGCTTATGAAACTCAATGCAGATTCAAGTACTCGTGCCGAGGTGATGACTTGCATTATGCTTTTAATTGTCTTTTGATATTCTCGCCAGAAAGGACCATTTTGGTATGCACAAGGAAAATTTTAAACTCGAATTTCTGTTGCATTTTGTGCCAATATTTCTAAGTATTATTTCCCCCCTTTATTCCTCTGATTCTCCTTTCCTTTTTTCTTATTTAGTTTTATTTTAATGATGTTTAGTTAACAAAATGAAAGCCATAATTTTATGTATCCTCTCCCTCTTTTCAACATTAATTGGAAAAATTTCCCTCTAAAATCTGCCTTTTCTGGTTATTGTTATATTATGTACTCATGGTGCAGTACTTGATAGGTGCATGACCTTGTTTTATGTAATTATTTTCATTTTTCTCAAGGACAGCTTCTCTCTCTCTCTCTCTCTGGAAGGAACCAAATCATAAAATGAAATTACAAGAAAGGGAAGTCCTATATGAATACCTCTCTAGCCAAATATACCACAAAAATGCCCCGATGAAGCTATTGCTCCTTAGTGCGCCTTGAGGTTTAAAGAACATTGGATATGGTTGATTTTTGAATCAATTGAAAGAAGAGTACATATGGAGCGACTCAGTTTTAGATATAGTGCCCTTGTTGGTTGAAGACTGTTTTTGTTGGTTCACGGTTTCACATTTTAAGGGTCATTGATTGGATACAACTTTGGCCTCTCTTAGAAGTGCTAAACCTGTCGGACCTTTGTGTATATATATATATATATATATATTTTTTTTTTTTCTCTGTTAAGGAATTTGTTTTCTTTGAACTTTTGATGTATCTTTTTTATTTGATTCATGTCTTTTTTATTTGTTTCACGTAAAAAAGAAAGAGAACTTTGATCTTTCTGTTTCCTATAGAATATGCTACTATTTTGTGTGTAAAAAATACCTAATATCAAGTTGTTGAGGATTATGAAAACTTTCAATTTCCTTTACTGCATCATCATCTTCAATTTTTGATCGTTTTATACCTCGTTTTTTTTTAATCCTCAGATAATGTGGTTAGTAGATATCTTCAGAGGAAAAATTGTGGATACTTCAGAACATTCACTGACTATTGAGGTAACTACCTTCTGATCCTTTTAAAACATTCATTTATTGCATGGTCGATGATCAGCCTTCTGTTTGAATGTTAGCGTCTTATCATAGAAAAAAAAAAAAACATGTCAATATCTCAAAAGTATTTTTTCCCTTTTATTAATTAATATCAGTTCTACTATTTTCATTAAGGTAAAAATTATTATTATTATTATTATTATTATTATTATTCTTATAAAAATTCATATTTGCAAGTCTGGGGATATGGGAGATTCTTAGCCTAAAGAGTTGAATTAGTTATTTACCATTATTTTAGAAGCTGTATGTTGAGTTGTAGTCTTTATTAATCTGGTTAGATAACACGCATTTACATTGGAAGAAAAGAGTAGTAGATTCTATTACTTAAACTTGCATCCGAATCAGATTCAGTGGTTTGAACAGTTTTATTGGAATTATTTTTCAAACTGATGAGAGGCGAGAAAGGTAAATGTTGGGTTTAAAAGAAGTTCAATCAATTTGGGTGCAGTGCTGAGCTGATTATGCTATCCAATGAAGGTTCAAGCTGTAAAACCATAGAGACTAATCTCTAAGTCTTTCCAAGCCATAGGGTCCAAATTTGTAATTTAATCTGAATAAAATGTTTATAAAGTTTGACAATATGAATTATTTATTTATTTATTTTTGGATTTGTAACAATTTCAATTGATTAAATCATCCCAAAAGGGTTACAAAAATATTGTCCAGTTGGAAATGATTGAATTATTTATTAAAATGAGAAATTTTTGTATGGCAATCTTAAATTCATGATTTGAGTCGGTTGTGCACTTTGTACGAAGCCATGTTTATAAATTCAAGATTTACTTTTTTTCTCGGTTCAGCCCGTGTTAGTAAGTCTATTGAAAGACTGATGGGGAATTTATTGTGGGAGGGGGTTGAAGAGGCGAAAGGTCTCATTTGGTTAAGTGGGAGTTGGTGGTGAAACCAGTAGAACTAGGAAGATTAAGAATTGAGAGCTTGAGATTATGCAATGAGGCGTTGCAAGCTATTTGGTTGTTCGGTTCTTCATGGATCCTGATGCTCAGTGGTACAAAGTTATGGTGAGCAGAAATGACTCGCATCCTTTTGAGTGAGTGGTAGGTAGTGGTTCTAAGAGATCGGGTACAAACTTCTAGAAAGCTATTGCATATTAATTCCTTCTGTTATCTCAATTTATTATATGCTCCATTGGGGAATGTGTGGGTTTGGAAGATTGTTGGGAGGGAGATGAACACTTTGTGAGTTGATTCCTAGTTTATATCACCTCTCTTAGAAGAAGCAATATTTGAGGCTTTGATTTTGCCTTCTCCTTCTGATCCCTCTTCTTCGATATCCTTGGGCTTCTGTCGCCTTCTCTTCTTATAGAGAAGTGATTGATGCGACAGGTTCTTCTTTTCCTTTTGTAAGACGAGCATGTAATTCTAGGGAGAAGGAACTCTAGGATTTAGTTTCTTGGTCTTCCAGAGGTTTCTCCTGTAGACCCTTCTTTCTCATTCTATTTGTCCCTTCTCCACCCCAAGTTGTCTCAGTTTTTGCCGTTATTTAGACGATAAAAATTTCAAAGAAATTTATTTATTTATTTATCTTTTTTTTTTTTTTTTTTTTTTTTTTTTCTTTTTTTTTTTTTTTTTTTTTTT